ATTTAGAGTGGAATGTATTTAAACAAGTTGTTGAACATAATTTGTTCAAAACAGTACTGACAGTATTGGTTAACAGCACCTAGGTCATTAGTAATTAAATATAAAAAGAGAGCACACAAAAACAACCAAGAAACAATTAAAACACAATAGAATTACACATTAAAAATATACAGGGTGATTTAGAATATAATTGTTTGTATAACAGAAAAATTATTTGGACATACTAAGAATACTGCAGTAGATATTGCTCAACTGTCCCGTGTCTGCCTTGTAATATACTGCATAGTTTTCTCTATTTATATAACACATTTCCAAAAACAATCTTTTTTTGTAATTATTTTCTTGCTGTAGAAAATTTAGAGGATTAAATGAAAAAAGAGTTTTTTTTTAAATAATAACAGACCGCATACCCGATATTCCAACACAATAAATTGTTATATATTTATATATATATATATATATATATATATATATATATATATATCATTATTCTGACTCAAGAGAAAGACCATAGTAATTTATTTTACCTATTTGCATGGAACAATGTGTGTTTGCGATATCTTGGTTCGCTTTAAGACCTTCATTATCTAAATGCCATCTAGAAAATTTATTAACGATTTAACTTTAGTACGCGCTTTCTGTCGTAACCTATAGCTTTAAATAATAGTGTACGTTCTAAATTTAGACTTAATTTAAATAAAGTTATTTTATAAGGATAAGCTCAACTGACCACCAAAAAGGAGTTATTATACCTACATGATGTAAAAATAATAGGACATAAAGACAAAAGGCTACAGTTGATAATGTAGGTACAGAATGCCCCAAATTGGTATGTTTAGCAGGGTATACCGAAAACTGGAGGAGATAGCAAAAAAGTAATTAAGATGTCATGACATATTTTTTCGTGAAAGTAACAATTGTCCAATCAAATCATATTACAGAGATACAAGTCGATAATTGAAAATATCGAAGACGACAGGATTATATATCTTCTTTATTATTATTTTTTTAAACTTCATAAGAACTTTTGATTAATATATTATAAAAGAGTTCAGTGGCGTACAAGAAATTTTTTTAGGGGGTCTCGCTATAGAAATATGATACCAACTTATGTTTTTTTTATATGGGACTTCCTATATATTTTGACAGTTTTCGTTTAAGTTTTTAATTTTCTTTCAACTGATATAACATATTATATATCTATTTTCAGTCGTTGAAGGTACTTGAAGGCAAATAAAATTTAGAGTTGACCTCATGTTAAAGGTACTTAAAATACTCGGTAACATATTTAAACATTTTCTTATGAGCATACAAATTCCTGATAGTTTTATTTCGCAAAAATAAAATCCGTACATTCCTAACTTGAAAATAAAGTCAATACTCAACGGATTATTTTTGGTTCAAAGTGAATTAGGTATTATTTTTAAAAATGAGAAAAGGCAGCAAATATTTGATTTCACGCAAACAAATCCTATGTATCTCTTGATACGTATTTCGACCTAATAGGTCCCGTCAGAAGAGCTATTCATAGGGGTTATCAACGTGAAAAATCAATATTTTCTGCCTTTTAAGAAGCAACAATAACATGGCTTGAAACGAATATTGCATCTGTACACGATCTTCTACTACGAAAACCCTATTGTTCATCTGCTAAACTTCTCTCATATATTAGCACTTTTAAAATTTTGGTTGTAAGTTTTAGCATAGTATTTAACACTTTTTGTGTATTTTGGTTTTATTACTTCCTTTACCTCCGTTCTTTGACCTCTTATATAGCGCCATATTTTCTTTTGCAGACCGTAAAGTCATGTTCCATCTTACAAGTGCATGTGTTTCGTTACTAATTGTCTTGTAATTATGGTATGCCTCTTGTCTTTTCGATGACATGTATTTCAGCTTTTTTCTTTTCTTTACATTTTTCCTTGACTTCTGTACAAAACCATGAAGTTATTTAAAATATATTCATATTTCTTTCACCAAGAACTTCCTTGGCCGGGGATAAAATATTAGACTTAATTTTTGCCAAGATTTCTTCGACTCCATCACTTTCTGTGATATTTGTGATTCTGTTTTTTTCGGTTATTCTTTTTTACAATAGGTATCTTGTGGAATCATCCTGTAAGCTCTTCGCTTTTATCTTTGTGATGTGTTCTGGTGTTTAATTATCTCATATATGTGTTTTCATTCGGATTTTGCATAATACAAATTTATGATCGCTTCCTATTTCTGTGGATGTTAGTGCTCTTACATCTAAGATTTGAGAGGGCTGTAACTCTCTATTCAATAGACTATAATCTATTATACATATTTATCCTCTCATGTTTTTAAAAGTGTATTTGTATTGTTTTTTGTGAGGGAAAAATGTCTTATTAATACGTATTTCGTTTATTCTGCAGCGGTCCGTCAAAAGGTCTCCGTTTTCATTTCTGATATTTTTTATTATATCGTTATTTACTTCCTGAAACTATAGCATTACCAACACATATGCTTAAATCATACAATGATTATGTATTCATCATTTGGAGTCTCATTTATTACAGTCTGAAGGTGTTTGTAGAAGCTTTCCCTTGTGGTAGTATCTTGTTGTACTCTGGAGCATTAATTGCTGTCATATTCGTAGGTTTGACATCCAGTTTAACTGTTATACTTACTATTTTTTCAGAAGTAAATTTACATTCTTGCACTTGATGTAAACATTTTGTGTGTACTAACAGCATGACTTATTCTTTGGCTCTGGTTTCTTTTGCAGAAGCATGAAACGCTTATATCAGAAGTGTTCCGTGCTTCTGAGAGAAAATTAAAATATAGCACGAAACGTTCGTTAAACGGCCCGGAAAAGCAGAAAATAAACACAAATACAAAAAAGTATAAGTAGTCCTTGTTATGGTACTTACCAGCACAGCGTTGACTTAGAAATTATATCTCCTTGTTCTACCTGATCTACAAGAAGACTGTATTGTGGTCCACAATGTAGCCTTTGAACAACGGTGTTTTTGATACAGGGAGCATATCGAAGATATTCTGAAAGAAATTGTTTTGATTTTAGTTTTAATGTCATTACTTTTGAATAGAAATTTAACTTTATAAATAACTAGCTAATGATGTAATAAAGGGAAAACAGTATGTGAATGAGATCAACTTCTAATAGGAAAAAAAGAATAATATTATTATTTAATAAAAAATAAATAACAAATATTATTCTTTATTCGGTAGATGGAGTTACATGCACGAAGCGCTTTGTTGAAATTTACCGAAGTAAAAGATGATTCACTTTATAGTCGGAACTGTGGACCGTACGTCACCGCTGGAGAGTTAAAAGGCGGTCGAAGTAAGGGGACACATTGTAATAAGCATAATATGAAAAGAAAATTCAAAGGTAATAAGTTTAATGCAGAAAACAATTATGAATTACGCAATATAAGGTTGAATGTTCGAATAATGCCTTGTATACCATCAAAGTTCAATTATGAATTACTCAATTTCTCAGAAAATTTTGATAAAAATAAAAATTGGAGTAAATTGGAGAAATAGCAACGAGTTGGTCAGAAATAGGGATGTGTAGTTCACCATCGAAATAGTTCAAATGAACGATTCTTTCAACTGAACTAATTGAACTAGTTCATTAATTTTCATAGAACTAGTTCACTGTGAACGATTTGCATTATAAATTGTGTCTTAACTTCTAAGGAAGAAAATAATTAATGAATGAATGAGAACATATATTTATTATTTTGTGATTGGATGGACTAATTAGTTTTAAAAAATGCCGATTAGCCTCAGATAACAGATTCATAATTCTTAAGAATGTGACAATAACATAAAGTCTTATCTTAATGTCATAATGGTTCGAATCTTATGCCCATGTATTGGCTTGAATGTTGCCATGCTGTGTTGTTTCTTGTATTATAATTTTGAAATAAAAATTTTAGTTGCGGTTATAATGATTGAGGCATTTACATAAAATATTTTATGTAGAAGTGAGAATGAAAATGTGTTATTTAATGTTCTTAGAAAATTCATTTTTTTTGTAAAGGTGCTTTTAGAAATAACCTAATTATAAATACCTATGAGTTTAAATATACGTAAATATAAAAATAAATCATACGTGAACCATATTTATATTTAAAACGGTTAATAAAAAACAAATCTTAATAACTTTTTGCAAATAAAAACTAACTAATCATATAATAATTTAAACCATTTAAACCTAAACATACGATCGAAAGAAATAGTTCCGAACTACTTGTAGAACTATCGAACTAGTCTACGGTAGTGAACTAGTGAAGGACTGACTGAGACTGAACTGTTGGATTTCGATGTCGGTCCTACAAATAGTTCTTTCGCAAACTAGTTCACTGAACTAGTTCATTTTTGTGAAATAGTTCTCTTGAACTAGTTCATCTAAAAGAACTAATAAGCACACCTCTAGTCGGAAAATATCGACGCAGCTCGTATTGCTCAAGCCAACCAACCATTTTCAGCTTTCACTACAATGAGTGCACCCAGTATGGAACAAAATAAATATGGCTATTCTATTCCATAAAATTACAGTATAAATACTTTAAAGCTTTCTTCTTGAAATCACATTTTTCGAAACTGGGTGACATTTTTCCCAAAATCTACTAGACCACTCTCAGTAAACCATTTTTTTTTTGATATTTGAAAGTACGACTACTAAATAAACCTCTAAAAATTGAAAGAGAGACATCCAAATCTTTTAGAACCAGGGTAAACCCCCAGGGTGAGGGTTAAAATGAGTTTTACATCTCAAGAATTGAATCCCGTTGGTTTAAAAAAAAAAGTTGCATAGGGGCAAAAAAGTGCACCCCAAATTAAAATGAATGTTTTGAAAGGCGCTCTTTTTGATGGTAAAAAAAACTAAGTGTCAAAAAAATGTTTTTGTTTTGTAAACCTCAATTCCTTCTTAACAATAAATAGAAAAAATTATGACCATAAATATAACAGTTTTTTTTGTTTAATATTTAAAAATTGTCGTTTTTTCAATTCAGAATGTAAAAGTTACCTTAAACAACATATTTTAAACATATTAAATAAATAAATAATAAATTACTTACCTTTTTGATAGGTAGGTTGAGTACACATTTCATGTACGCTTTCAATTGGACTCTCCACAGCCCTATTAAACTGTCTTCTCTGTTGGTCTGTGAAACATTCATCTGTATATTCCTTTAAACAATCTACAAACTGATTCCACGTATTGCAAACTAAATCTATGTCATTTAAATTATCCGGAAAAACTAAATGGGCTTCTTTAACCAAAGGATCAGCTATTCGTATGCATCTATCATACTCAGTTTTTGAACAATCCATTTTGGCATTCACCAGCATTGGAATCAAAGTCGGCAAAAGTGTTCGCCACATTTTCTGAAAATAAAATATGAGATTTAGAAATATGTTATTATTATTGCGGTGTGTAATATAAAAAGTTTTATATATATATATATATATATATATATATATAGCGAGTGTTTGCAACTTTAATTTTGTCGCTTCTCGCATCCCAATCGCCATAATTTCTTATCGGCCCAGACTCCTTCTTGAAGACCTCTATTTTCCATTTCTATATGAATATTGGATATCCATTTCTTTCTTGGCCTTCCCCTTTTATTTCTCTGTGTAGGTCTCCAGTTCCAAACCTTTCGTGGTATCCTTTCTTCGTTCATCCGTCTCAGGTGTCCATACCATTTTAATTGTTTTTCGGCTATCGTATCCATTATTGTGTTCTTTACTTTCATTCTCTCTCTTATGTTTTCATTTCTTATGTGGTCAAACAAAGTTAACCCGGAACATCTTCTCCAGTACATCATTTCCGTTGAGAGGAGTTTTTGTGACATATTATTGTTAAAGACCCACACTTCTGACCCATACGTCAGCACCGGCTGAATCATAGCCTGATATATATTTTTCTTTGTTTTCTTAGTTAAAGTTTTATTCCACAGGATCGGATGTAGTGTTTTTATCATGTTTTTTCCTTTTCCTATTTTTCTTGTTATATCTTTGTCGTCTCTCCCGTCTTCGCTTAGTGTAACTCCGAGATATTCATACTGATCAACGTTTTTAATTAATCCGCTTTCTGTTTCCATGTCTTGACCGATGCCTCCTATATTCATGTATTGTGTCTTTTCGGTATTAACCTCTAATCCCCATTTTTTGAATTCGTCTATTAGTTTGTTTATCATGTACGTCATATCTTGTAGGTCCTCGGCAAGAACTACCTGGTCGTCTGCGAAGAGGATTGTGTATATAGGAGTGTCATTTACCCATATGCCCATTGGGCTGCATTTTCTCATCCAATGTTTTAAAGCATTACCAAGATATATTTTAAACAGGGTTGGAGAGAGGAAAGAGCCCTGTTTGACACCCTTTGTTTGGGTGAAACCCTTGGAAATTTGGTTTCCAACCTTAATATAAGCTTGGTTATCTTGATATAGCTTTTTCACGGCATTTATATATACTGCATTTATACCTGCGTTTTTCAATGTTGTCCATAGTCTCTGCAGTGGTACGGAGTCAAACGCTTTACGGAGATTTATAAAAGTGGCATGAAGTTCTAGTCCTCTTGCTAATCTCTTTTCCGTTAGGTGTTTGAGAGTAAATACATTGTCGACACAAGATCTCCCTGGTCGGAATCCACTTTGTTCTTCGATCTCTGTGGCTTCTTTTTCTATTCTGGCTTTCAGAACTCTTTCATACAGTTTGCCAGTGGATGACGTAATGCTGATACCTCGGTAATTATTGCAGTCATTCCTGTTTCCCTTTTTGTAGATGGAGTTTATGTACGAGACTTTCCAATCTCTTGGGATACTTTCTCCTTGTAGGCACTTGTTAAACATTTTACAAAGCAATTCTAATGTTATTGCAGTGGCATGTTTAAATAACTCGATAGGTAAATCACCCGGCCCAGGAGCTTTATTATTTTTCATTTTTTGTAATGCGTTTTTTATTTCTTCTACGGTAATCATCGCCACTTCATTTAATCCCGTTTCAACTCTATCTATCTGTGTGTCTAGAAACTGTGTACGTTGTTCATTTAATAGATTTTCATAATAATTTTTCCATCTTTCTATGTCTATGGGGTTTATTTTTTTTGTTTCGTTTGTATTTTTTCTAAGACTGTTGATAGTTTTCCAAGCTTGTCTGGACCTAGATCCTCCTACCATTGAGCTTATTTCTGCACACTTGTTGTCCCAGGTTATGTTTTTTGTTTTTTTAATTTCCTTTTTTACTATATATTTGTATCTGTTATAGTTCTTTCGGTCTTCCTCATCTTTTGTTGCTAACCATTTGAGATACAGTTTTTTCTTTTCTTCTACCAGTTCTAATAAACCTTCTGTCCACCAATAATTTCTACGTTTTACTTTTTCTTTCGTACCTAGAGCTTATGCTGCTTCATGAATTTTGATTTTCAAAGTCTCATACATTTCTTCCGCTGTTCCGTTTATTTCTTCATCTAATTTTTGTGCCAAACGTAGTTTATAAAGAAAACTTGTGGACTCATTTTTTAAGCTGTCTATGTTATAGAGCCGTGTGGATTCTTTGTTTGTTTGTTCTTGGGATTTATTTTGTTTAATATATCTTATTTCCACGGGCACTTTTACTAGTAGATGATCCGATCCACATTCTGCCCCTCTCCAAACTTTTACATCGTAGGGTCTTAAAGATGTCTCTTGTTTAACCACTATGTAGTCTATAATTGACTGCAGTTTTCTTGTCTTTTGAGTCCATGTATATTTATTTATGTCTCTATGTTTGTAAAATCCATTCAGTATTTTTAACGAATGTTGTTCGCATACCTCCAACCATCTTGTTCCGTTCTCATTTACTACATCTTCTCCGTGTTGTCCAATTATTTTGTTGTCAAGAGCTTTACCTACTCTTCCGTTCAGGTCCCCTAGCAGGACTATTTCTTGCCTTTTTTTATTTTATTTAACTCTTCTGAGAGTTTGTCGAAGAACATGTCTTTAGTGTTTGTATCTGAGTCGTCCGTGGGTGCATAGATGCCAATTATTTTTATGTCTCTCCCCTTTGTTGTAAGGTGTACTGTTATAATTCTTTCGTCTATCGGGTTCCAGTTGGTAATACATTTTTCCATGTTTTTTCTTATCACGACCGCTACTCCAGCTTTGGCTCTTTTTGATTTTTCTACTCCGCTCCAGAAGTATATATAATCGTCTTTGTAGTGGTTCCCCTGTCCTTTCTTTTTTGTTTCGCTGAGTACTGCGATGTCAATTCGGTATGTACTGAGTTCCTTAAATACTTGGTCTTCTTTTGTATTCAGTCCTTGTATGTTCCAACATCCAAAATTCGTTAGCCTTTTTCTTTGCCTATGTCGTTTTCCATTGAAGCCATCCGAGTTCCGAGGCTGTTCTTTGGGATTTTTAGCAATATTTCTTTTACGCAGGGCGGGGAGCTAACCTACCGCTGTAACCCTTCTCCTTCATCCGGGCTTGGGACCGGCACTGGCATTTACTGAGCTACTCAATCCACCCAGTATCTACCAGAGGCGGAGTTATAAAACTTTATAAAAGTTTTAAATACTTTTAAAACCATAAAATTATAAAGCTCTAAATAAGTGAACACGTAGACTGTTGATTTGACGTCATAGAGAAACCAAAAGAACTATAGGAATACTCCATAAGAGATGGCATGACAATAAAATAGATTCCATGTAAAAAATAAATGGATGTGGTTGTCTTTTTAAAATAAATATATTATGACTTTTCTGACGGGTATTCTTCCAAAGTTACTGTTAATTTCATGAAATCGAGTACTATCTTTCCATAACGTCCTCCTAGGAATGCAACTCAAAAATATTATTTTAAAATCATCTACTTTAAAATATTTAATATACAGGGTGTCCCATAATTAATTAGACATTAGCTAATGGGTGATAGCTGACATGAAACTAAAGCGTTTGAGCTCAAATTGCTTAGGCAAAATGTTGCTAGTTTTCGTTCTACAGGGTGATTTATTAATTTTTTTTATATTATTTTTAGGGATATATTGAAAACTATTCAACCGATTTATTAATCGATCAACATTATTCAAAAGGTCTTAAATAAAAGTGAATATTAAATGTATTAGTAGTAGATAATTTTTGCAAACAAAATGCATATGGTTGAAACAATTATTTTTATTAAACCTTTGACTCAGTAACAAATTTTAAAAAAATCAGAAATTAAATTAAACAATGAAATGAATATAAGACAATTAACAAAGTGAATAAATCAAAACGAAATGAAAAAATTACAATAATTGTGTAAAAAATGTGCACCATTAGGTAAACTACATAATCTAAATCTTTTGTGTAAGTTTTGTCTTATTTTAAATAATGAGTTTCTTTGGGCCCTAATTACGTTAACTCCCTCTACAATATTTTGCCATAACTATTGACGGTTATTTATTTTTTTTTATAAACAAGTGACTTTAGGTAGCCCCACAAGTGAAAGTCTAGGGGATTTAGTTCGTGACTGCGTGCTGGCCATGGTTACACTACCTCTACCAATCCACCTTTGAGAATAAATTTCATCTAGATAATTTCTAACTTCTAGGCTATAATGTGGTGGTGCACCATCATGCATGTACCAAGAGTTCCGTTTCAAATTTAGAGGTATGTCTTCTAAAAGAGTTGGTAAATCTTTTCTCAAAAAATTTAGATACGTTACTCCGTCAAGCCTAGTTGGTAATTCGAATGGTCCTACAATATAATCCCCAAATATGCCACACCAGATATTTATGGAAAACTCGTGTTGAAAATGATGTTCTTGAAATGCATGAGGATTTTCTGTCGCGTAGGTATGGCTATTGCGCCAGTAAAATAAACCGCTTCTAGTAAATATGGCTTCATCGGTAAATAAAATTTTATTATAAAACATTGGATCGTCTAAATGCCGCCCCATCATAAACTGACTAAATCGGAGCCTTGCTGGAAAATCGTGTGGTAAAAGATTCTGTACTGGAGTAAAACGATACGGATACAGATTTTCTGTCCGTATTATTCTTGACACCGTAGATTTGCTTATACCAGTGGCCGCAGAAACAAGCCTTGTACTGGTTTCTGGATCTTCTGCAACACTCACAACAATTTCATTCTCCATATCCGCATCAATTACTCTCGGTCTTCCAGCATTCCTGTTTTTGGAATGAAATGACCCTGTTTCGCCTAATCTGTGGAACAATGATCTAATAGTTTTATGGTTTGGTTGTCTTCTATTGGGATAAAGTTCGAAATAGTGTTCAGCTGCTTTACGAGAACAAAAATTTTCTTGGGCATACAAACAGATCATATCGCGCATTTCTACATTAGAAAATTCACTATGACGTGACATTTTTCCTTTATCTTAAGTGGTTTATAAAAAACTTAA